AGTTATTCTCACCACTTTCGTTGCGACCCGGCTTTGTCGGTGTTTGCTTCAAAGTGTCAGGGTGAATGTCATGCCGTGAAGGCTGCTCTTTGTGATCTCGGGGATCCTGGCTGGGGGGATCCCTGGTTTCCGCATTGGGCTTTGTTGCTTCCCACACCCTCTGAATTGGCCCATGGTGTTTTTGTGGCGTGTCTTGTTTTGTTTGTTTATTGTATGGGCCAGCGTCATCATGGCACACAAGTTGTCATTTTGCATGCACCGAGATGATACTAAGCTATCACCTCTTGCTTTAATCGATCTTTTTCACCCATAAACTGGAACTTGTCACGTCACTGCTCTGTGGTGTGTGTTGTTTTTTGGTTTGTTTTTGCTTTTGTTTTGGTGTGTTTGTGTTCTGTTTGTGTTCGGTGCTGTTTTTGGTTTTTGTTTCTTTGTTTTTTGGTGTTTGCTTGGTTTTCTTGATGAACGTGACAGTGCATAGGACTATGTATCGGTCCTCCACCAGTTTACTTTTGCGGCCACTACAGCAACGGCCTTTGCGTGACTTAATTAATTAACTAATCCCAATTGCAACATGCTCTGAAACATGTTGAACGACCTGGCGGAAGCCATGAAGGCGTTGGACGGAAAAAAAAGGGCAATAAGCCTTTGCTGCCATGAGACAAAGGACGGAGGGATGACAAAGCACAACCACACTCCCAGCACGAAAGCAGAGCAACTGAGCCGTCACAGCTGCAACCAGATACCCAGAGGGAGGACAAACGTAATAAAAATGTCATTCTCAGTGTCAAACTCTGTAGCTGCCACGGCCATTGTCCGCTTAGACAGGGAAAGCACCTCACTCAGGAGTGTGGACTACAGCTCCGACACAGAGACTGCCGCTCTCCTGAGTTAGTCGCAGCTTCGACTTCTGCGCAATCACCAGTCTATATCTCCTCAGGGAGCGCACTCCATTTAGTGTCACAACCATGGCAACTGCAAGTGGTGGTTTATCCTGCGACATAACCTGGCGGAAGCCATGAAGGCGTTGGACGGAAAAAATGGTTTATCCTGCGACGTAAACGGAGTGTCAAGTCTCCACTCGAGGACAGCTTCTGCTTCCGAGGGTTCTCGCGTAGGCTCATGATATTGGACTAGTCTGTTTTTGAGAGTGTGGTGTCCATAGTGATAGACCGCCAACGTTTGAGCCATTCCAATCATCCCACCCATATCAATAGAGGACAATGCCTTGTCAGCGCCACTGTGGCCCTCCCAAAACAATTCCCTGTCTTCTAGGAAAGCACCTCGACGGCCACCGCTGAGGAAACCACACCCCGTCTGGACAACAAGCGATTCGGGCGGTTGCACCGGCCGCTGACGAGTTTGTAGCTATTCTGAGTCCTCCAAACCATGCTGTCTGAAACCCATGCTGCAAAAGCTGTGCACAGCCGTGCGATTGCAGATCACCAGGAGCTGCGCTGTCGCTCCTTGGCTAAGGTCCCGATGACACTTTTGAAGGTAGTTAAGGAAGACTACTACATCTTCAATTGCTGCCCTAAGGTCCTTAGGAGCCTCCCACAGGACCGTCCGGAACCCTCCGTGTTCGACAATATGATCATGAGGCACGAAGTGCCCTATCTGGATGGGGTCCTGGTCATGCAACATTAGTTCCGGGTATCTACCGTACAATGTACCACTTTGCTGAAACTTCCAATACCCTAAACATTGGGCTGAAGCCTTTTGACTGACCGTCTGTGCCAGTTGTGCCCTCGAAGACAAGAGCACTGTCCATTGCGAAGCCTTTTTTTGTTGTCAAGACTTCCATAAACAAAAGTGGCCATTGCAATGCTTCTAGACACATCATTGGTGTCCAGGACATTCCATTTTTCATTCATGGATGGAAAATCTGAAGTTCTCATCGAAAGTTATCAACCATTTCTCCGTCCAGCTGAAGGAGCTAAGCGACAGGAATCCATGTGTTTGGACTCCAAACGGTTAAGAAGCTCGAAGACTCAGGATTGAAAATTGCAACGCTGAGCATCCAAGAATCTTATGCATGTGAGGTTTCAACCACCAAACAAAGAGGACATCAGCATCCTCCTTCCGAACTGGATAATTATGCACAGTGAAATTGCAACGATTCTTTGAGCTCTCGAGGAATCCAACTTTTGAGAAACGGACGCGGACGCGAAGGATTGGAGAATGTTGCCTGGGTGGGCTGCATCGCAAATCGCCACATTGGAGCTAGGGAACGGAGACAGCTGATACCACATGTGCGCTTTCAGGTTTGATTTTTGGGCCGGAAACAATTGAAATCAGGCTTCGCATGTGCGGGCCTCCTCTGTTCCAACTCTATATGCTTGTTGCTTAAATAAACGCAGTTGTAATGTTTGTTTGTTCCACGGGTCGTGCCCAAATTTGAGAAAGTGTGGCGGATAAGGTTTGAGTCTAACCACTTCGGATGGAATAACAACAGCGCGGTCAATTTCTGTTGTTTTGCGTCTCAAAACAGATAGAAAAACCAGGGTGCAAAGGTGCAACTTTCGGAAGTGTGACAAGAAACTATACAGGTTCTGTTTCCTATCCTGAAAAAGTTGCACCTGCACCCTTCAAAATTTGGCAAATGTATGGATGCCCAGAGGCATGTCTGGAGCGTGCTTCTACCAGTGCAAAGCAGGTGCTGTCGAAGTGAAAGATCGTTTTTCGAAACGTTCGGGCGCAAAGCCGTGAAAACGAGACATTTTCGAAGTGAAAGATCGCTTTTGAAAACGAGACATTTTCGAAGTGAAAGATCGCTTTTCCAAACGAGACATTTTCGAAGTGAAAGATCGTTTTTCCAAACGTTTGGGCGCAAAGCCGTGAAAACGAGACATTTTCGGCGCTGCTTGCACCTCAAGCAAAACCATCTGAGGCACCGCTGTGGAAGGTCGGCTCTTTCCTCAATCTGCACTGCTAGCTTCTATGGTTTGAAGATTTGAGGCGATGGATTTGAAGCAAAGGCTCGGACAGGCTTTCCCCGCCTGTTGTTTTGATGTGCGGAGGATGAGGTGGAGGTTGATGATGTTGAGGATGAGGAGGTCAAGGGGAAGGAAGACAATGATTCTGAGAATGATGATGTTGAGGAGGAAGAAGATGATGATGATGTTGAGGATGATGAAGTGCAGGAGGATGATTGTTGAGGATGATGAGGTTGAGGATGATGATAGTGAGGAGGAGGAGGAGGAGGAGGATGAGGATGATAATGCAGGCAAGGAGTTGGAGGATGATGAGGTGGAGGGTGATGATGTTGAGAAGGATGATGTTGACGGCGATGATGATGATGATGGTGATGATGATGATGATGACGATGATGATGATGATGATGAACGTGAGGGTGAACTTGAGGGTGATAGGGTGATGAAAAGGATCTCAGTTTTGATGTTGCGGAGGATGAGGTGGAGGATGATGATGCCAAGGGGGAGGAAAATGATGATGTTGTGAATGATGATGCTGAGGAGGAAAAAGATGATGATGTTGAGGATGATGATGTTGACGGTGGTGAGGTGCAGGAGGATGATGTTGAGGTTGACAATGTGGAGGATGATGATGTTAAGAATGATGATGATGATGATGATGTTGTTGATGATGATGATGATGTTGAAGGTGATAGGATGATGAAAAGGTTCTTAGTTTTGATGCTGCGGAAAATGAGGTGGAAAGTGATGATGTTGAGGATGAGGCCAATGGGGGAGGAAAATGATGATGTTGAGAATGATGTTGTTGAGGCGGAAGATGATGTTGAGGATGATGATGTTGAGGAGGAGGGCCGATCCCAAGACCGGGACCCACACTTTGTGGAGCGTGCACAATCGAAATGCGCTTAGACATTCCACAAGAGCCACTTTACAAGAACATTTGCAGGAAAAATGCCACCGATCAGAACCGCGAGCCACACTTTGTGCGAGCTTGCGCAGTCGAAATGCACTTGGACATGTCAACTGAACCATTTTATATTTTGCGGACCAGAGCCCGACCGCAGCCGAAACGCACCCAGACTAGACATTTCATAGGAGCCACCTCATGCGGAAACTTACAGATAAAATGGCGCGGACCAGAGCCCAACCCAGACTTTGTGCGAGCTTGCGCAAGCGAAACGCACCGGGACATTTCACAGGAGGCAACTTATGCAGAAATTTATGGGCAAAACGCCGCCGACCAAAACGGCGACCCACACTTTGTGCGAGCCTGCGCAGTTGAAATGCACGTAGACAGTTCACAAAAGCCACTCGATGCGGAAATTTAGAGGTGAAATGCCGCCGACCAAACCCGGGGTGCAAACGTTGTGCGAGCCTGCACAGCCGAAATGCACTTGGGCATTTCACAAGAGCAATTGCGTGCGGAAATTTCCACGTAAAATGCGGCGGTGGACCAGCTGGAGCACCTTGATCGAGCACCGGCTTTTGAACCTACCGCAAAAAAACCTTCGGTTTGGACACGCCGTTTGGGGAATCGAGCAATTTATATTTTTATTTTTTCAATCATCGTGTAAGGTGTCTTTTTTTGTTTGTTTTGGATTTCAAAATGTTCGCTGTTGATTGTTCGACTCCGTGAACCAACCGTTTATTTCGAGCCTTGGCCGTCCTTGAACTGTTGAACCACATGCAGACAACGATTTCGAGACGCGTGCGCGCAGCATGGCCATGAAAATGCAAGGTGCCAACGTTGTTTTTTTTTTCCACGGCCCAGCTTGTTACACGCCCAGTTCCAAAAACATAATGCGTCATGGGCATGGATCACAGTATTCAGTGGTTAGGAGGGAATTGAAACCTTTTGGAGTCAAGGCCACATTAAGAACTTCCTGACCATTTGATAATAAGGGTGTTTGCCGTGTTTGGGTCTGGATTTAAGGTTCCCAGGGAATGGTTGAAATGGCAGAGCAACATTTTCTGACATTCAATCCGTTTAGGTGTATGAATCATGTTGGAACTGAAACTGTTTGTATGAACAAACAATGAAAACAAATATGCGACACTATGTGACAAGTGCGTCGTTCAGTCTTCGATTTGATGCAAAAAGACCAACTCAAAGCAGTTCTTTCCGGGCCAGACGCTCAGTGCAACATGCATTTTCAATGAAACATATTCATAGACTTCATTCAAAATTGTTTTGTTAGTTTCGCGTGAATTTGGTTCAGGAAAACTGGTGCTGACAAAGTTCAAACATCAGTGCCAGTGAAAAAGATCAATGCGCCACGCTTTACTTTGGAAAACGACACGCCTGATCCTTGGAATTGCATAGAGTTTTATGGCGTTGCCATTCGAAAACTTGTGATGTCATCAGGCACGACTTCCTGAAGTATTTGGAGGAGTATGGATATGCGGTCAGCACCCGAGCATACCCCAGATTATTGATGTTTTGAATTGTTTTATGATGTTCTATGATGACGTTGTATGTTATTTTATGATGATGTTTCATGGTGATTCAATGAAATCGGTGAACTGTTGATCATGACTTTTGTAACACTCCGGCATTTATCATTCCAGAATTCTTTTCCTAAGGTTGTAGCAAATGTTGCCAGCTGCGAAGACATCAAGAAAGCACAGTCGCTGCTTTGGGATTTCTTGGAGGTTCGCTACCCTTTGCCAAAACCAGGTCATTGTATTGGTTACCAAAAACGCAACAAATCAGCACCAACCAGGCACTGCCGGCAACGCGAGTACGGCGGGATGACGTGAAGAGTTGGGGCGACCCGCTCCTTGGCGTTGGTTAAGGTCCATGGTGAAATGTGGCGACAGGATGGCCAGTTATACATATATATATATATAATATAGAAATATTTTCGAACAATTTTTTACTTTACTTTGTTTGCATGTAGAATTGTTGGTTTTGTTGTCTTTCAATTTGAACTGTGCCATGTGTTTTTTTGCAGTTTTTGATAGTTGGTTTACTTTGGTTGCAGTTTGTAAGAAATTCCCTAGTGATTCCGGAAGAAACTTTCATGGTATCACCCTGTGAGCAGCAGACAGAATGCGCAAACAACTTAGCATTGCCAAAATTGTAGAGTGGCCTTGCTGAAGAGATGGGGTGTGAACTTAGGCGGGATTGGCTTCCAAATCCCGGCAACGGCATCGTGCATGGTTGGGGCTTTGGACAATCAGACTTCATGTGGCATTTGCGACAGCTACCACGTGTCAAGGCTCACCATTTGGGAGCTGGGACTTGGCCGTTTGGAGCCCTCTGGGTTCTTGATCATTTTATTTGACAGTAGGAATTTGCACCAGAAGGGTTCGGGCATTCACAGACTTACAGCTTCTGCGACTCTGGGCAGGAGTCATTTGCTGCAATCTGGGGAACTGATGACTTGCTGGTCTCCTTTGACGGGGGAAACGTCTTTCGACCATGGAAATACAATCCTGACTGGTTAACAAGCGGAGGCTGGGTTCCACAGTGGACATGAGATAATTTTCTGACACGTTCTGGCAATTGGGTCGTCCTTTGTGTCCTTCGTGATGTTTCATATTTGTACAGTTGTTTCACAGACAGCTTCATTGACAGTTCCAGGGTCAATCCCATCCCCCTCACTGATAATTCCCCAAATAAACCCGATAAATTTAAATATCTGCGTTTTTTCCGCCAGGCTGGTTCCATTGCGACCAAAACGCGCATCTTGGCGTCGAGAGTCGAGGTCGCGTCTGCATTCAAGGCCTGGTGAGCCTGCGGGAGGCGGATGAGAACACCGGGGGTTTGGTGCTGGTGCCTGGAAGCCATCGAGATCACGAGAATCTTTGCAACCGAAGCTACTGGGTTTTGATGGCCCTGACCCTTGATGGCCCTTGGGTCTGTCTGAAAATGGGTTATCTCACCAAAACATGGGCATTTGACTAAGGGAGATGATGGCAAACCATTGGATTTAGGTGTACCATGGTGTACCGGTGTACCCTATTTTCAGACAAACCCACATATTTCCAAAGCCTTTGGTGAGAGCTGGTGGGAGCTTTGTCCGATTTTTCCGCTTTTGATGTTACCGGTTGCCACACACAAAAAGGATCACCTTTGTATCTCTGGAGATATCCCACTGCCTGATCTAAGGTATGCTTGCTCGAAGAACTGGTGACTTCGTCCCAGTTTCCCTCGACGATCCCATCCTCCAAGAGGTTGGGGGCTGGACGCTTCTTCAAAATGGTGGAGATGAAGACAACACACGTTGTGTTTGGGACGTCCAATTGATATGCCAAACATGGTCTTCCTTTGTCAGATCTTGCTGGAACGAGAAATTTGGGTGGAAAGGAAACTAGTTTTGCGTATGCCAAACCACTGCAACTGCAGCAACCTTTCTTGAACGCCTGTAGAACATTTTCGAACTGGATCTTTTGAAATCATAAAGACATGGGAAGAGTTTTGCACCATCCCTGTGCTTGTTTGGAAGATATTGCGAGGCGAATGTTGAATGTAAAATGTTGAACGGCTCCACCTTGATTTTGATTCTGGTCTGAGCTGCGGAAAACGCCAAAATCGTCACAATCGAGTCTCAGGGTGCGGTTCTGGTCGCTGCCAACGCGGGTGACTTGATACTGTGGGACTCACGCACTGCACCTCGGCCTCTTCGCCAGAAAGTGAAGCAAAATCACTGGGAGGGGATGCTGCACCTTGCTGCACCATGCACAGGTCCACTGCAACACACCTGCGTTGACTCAGGAGGCCATGCTGTCCATGCTGTCCATGCTGTGCTGTTTGACAACTCAATGTGTAGAAAAACCTTGGCAACAGAAAAAAACAGTGGCACAAGCTGAATTCAGGTGACTGACGACCTGAGCTGTGAGGATTGTGAGGATTGGCAGCTAATTCGTGAAGTGGGATATGCGCCTGGGATTTCTGAGCCGTGTCAGTGTTCGCGTTTCCTTGGCCATTTGTTCAAGCTTGAGCTTGCAGTAGGTTTGTCGACTCTAAACTGCTGCAAAATCTGCAAAGAGTTTTGGCTGCTAACGGTGCTCCTGTGATCCAACATGCTGAATGGATGGAAGAACTGAAGCGCTGTTGGAAGCGTTTGAAGCCCTTTGCGAGGTGTGTATGACGCCGCGCAGTTTTGCGTCAACCGACATCCTCAAAAAACGAATCGAGGCGTTCGAGCAGAACATTGGCACCAGCCATTGGCCCCACAAGCTGCTCTGCGAAATAGTAAATAGCACTGGTTGGTGAATTAGTATCGGCATGTATCAGTAGGAAAACCTTCCAAATAAAGAGCGGGATTGCCATTTTCTTATTGTAGGAAAGACTTGGTGTTGTGCCTCAAAGCTTTCTGAAAGTGGCTGCTGTGATTGTGGACATCATGGGTGGATTTGGTCCAAACTTGCTCATGAAGGCAATGAACCAACTGTTTGCGAGGAATTTTTGCACGTGTGATGTTTGGTGTGGTAGAATATCAACCATGCCATTCTAAACATTTGTACGAAATCTAACGTAATTGTGAGTGGCAAAAATGGCCGAGTTAGAGAAAGTTAACATAAGTTAACACTGAACAACTGGTGCTGGCTGTGGTTCCCTGAGGTTTGTCGCGGCGGGCTTCGGAGTGCCTGGAATGCCCCCGAAAGATCCCCTGTCCATCTCCCAGGAGAGAGATGCTGAGGGATCTTAATTGTACCCTGCCACCCATATGGAGAAGTTTCGTTTCATACTCGAATTGGAATCATCTGCCAGTAGTCTCTGTATATGCTGGCGATGAAGGAGCAGCGATGGCTGATTGGCTATGATCGACAGCGTCGCTTTTGCTGTGTGCAGTAAGTGGCGAGACGCCAGGAGATCATGCTTGCTGGGTTTTGATCCAGAGATTTCCATGACTGGAAGAGTGTGATGCTTTCCAGGACCCTTGACCCTTGCAGCAACATCGTTGGGCTGATGTACAGTTCTGCCCAGTGGAAAAAGGCGTAGGGCCAGTTTCTCTTTGATCCCTTTCCATGTTGGGCGCATCAGGATTTATTCTGTGATTTGGGTTTTGCCCTCTACCAACCCTTCGAGTTGGAAACTGAACCCCCACCTTGTCATGGGGCTTGACGATTTCATTGATTTTGCGAATTCACAAGATGCTTTGTGTGACACGTTGCCATTTGAGGTCCTTAATATACGTAGGGATCAAACGTATCTAATCTGAAGGATAGCAACAGATCTGATTTGGCTCCCCAAATCTATTGAGGGTGGCACTCCTTGACATGAACTATTTGTGCTATTTCGAGGAGTTTTGCTGTTAGTACACACATCTCTGAGTGGATGGAGTCAAGACATGTCAAAACCATCAGGCAAAGATTAAATCCTGTTTGTCATCTCGTGATGTCCGTTCCTCGAGGGTGGTTCTTTGCACCAGAGGACTCAGTTGCGATGCTTTTGTTGGTCGAATCGATGGCAACGTTCGAAACTGAAATTCCTGGAGCTCCCTGGGAGGAAGTGGGACTCCTAGTTGTACGAACAGGTCGACGCTGGAAACTGTGGAGAGAACGTGCCTTGGTTTCAGATGATGTCTCTCTTTGAAGCAGTCAAGATCAAAATCCCATGAAGCAAAACTGGCATGGCTTGGGGGTCTCAACGAGAAAATTACTCGTGGGTCCGATTGGGTCCGAGTCTTAGATCTGGTGGAACATTAACCGCTATCAACAATACTAAACTACAATTAACCATTAACAACACTTCTGAATCCAGCTTGCCTTTGAGGTGACGCAAGTGTGGAGCTCTCCCACACTGATGATGAAGAAACCTACTCAGCTATTTGCTGGGCCGCAGCCGACTCACATGCATTCAAGGCACGGCGGCAAACCTGTTTATGTCATGGTCCTGTTGCATTTGTTTGTTAAGAACAAGGAGGATCTACAAACGCAGTCAGCCATGTGGACCAAACTGAACCGGACGAGGTTTGCATGAGTCAGTTTTTTCCTTCCCAAATGAGCAAAGTTTTTCTCCCATGACCGGGGCAGACACTGAACACAAAGAAGAGACATCCTGTGTTGAATATTCTGTGCAAAGTTTGGAGACACAGATCTCTTGGCAGCGGAGCTAGGCAGTTACGAAATGGTCATGAGTCATTGTCGATGGTCACCCCCCGGTTAGTAGGTATGAACGTACCCATTATACGGAATCCGCCTAAGGGTGGTGGAATGACCATACCCCATACACCAATAGCATGTGTTGACCATGGCTAATATCTCCCCAAGCTTCTTAGAGGAAAAATTGCAGGACAGCGCCACATTTGGCAAAATCCATGGTGTCCTGTCCTGTAAATTTTCGAGAACCCAGCAAAGATCATGGTGCGTACGACTCAGAACTTTGACTTGCTACACAAATTATACACATCAAGAAAGTGTGTACCAAAATGGAATAGACGAATACATGGCAAAACGGGGACAATGATGACAAAGCAGTGTTTTTTTTGGGTTTCCACGTGACAAAGCCAGTTGTCAGTTGTCAGGGCCACTGCGTGGTGGTCGGCTGCACCAGCGGTCGGGTACAAGTCTGGGATTGTTCCAGTGGCGAGAATATGTCTACAGCACAGGCCATTGAGAAGGTTGTGGCAGAGTGGAAAATTGTTGCTTGTTGTCTTGACATGTATTCTGAAAAGTATATACTGTAAGTTTTACCATACCTTCAAAGATTGAGACGGATGCCCTATGTGAAAACAATGATTATCTGTGTGACTTGTTGACCCTCACCAAGCCTTCAATCTCCAGGCTTTCCATTCTTTGGCGCGTGGTGTGGACTGCAGTGTCTCTGCCTTGGTTTTCCTGAAGAGTCGGACCAGTATCTTCGCAGCTTGCAACGGACTTCCAGAGATTTTGGAAATTGGGCTGACGGATGGGCTGACGAGAAGCTCCCTTAGAAGTGGCAAGAGACTTGGACTTTGGGAGGATGGAAGAGACCTTGCGTGCCGATACATAGTTAAACTTGACATCGACATAGACCATTTCCAGTGCGTGTAGAATAGGTTCCTTTGAACTGAGGAGTGGTGTGACTACTCTGGCAGCTGCATCAGCATCTGCCGATTGGTTGGTATCTGCCGGAGTGACGTCTCCTTTGAAAGTCTGGTGCTTGCCAGCTGCTGGTGCTGACTTGGGGAACCTCAAGAAGGCTCGGGGGGTTGAGCTCAGGACGTCAATTTCAGTGGCAGTTTCCTGAACAACAACAAACTTCATGTGTCAACGAAGGCTGAAGGTACTCTTCCAGCTCAGACACGAATATCCACGGGTGACACTGTGACTTTCCAGCCAGGCGAATCAGAGATTGAAAGGTCCAGGAAGCACGCCGACTTCTCTGGATTTGCACTCTTCGGGTGGGACGATCTATGTTCTTTGTGCCGATGGTACAACACAGGCTGCTTCGACCGGACACTCTCTTCATTCAAATTCCCATTTTGGTAGCGTACAGATGGGCACAGCTTACAGATCTGAAGTGCACTGGATGATTAAAGCAGGAGATTAGCTCTCCAGAAGCTGTTGGCAGTTTTAGGTGTACCAAATACATCCCAAGTTCAGGGACAGGGCGGAGAGTTTGCCTGCGGACCTGATGTATTTTTCGTATTCAATTCGGCCTTTGGCTGTGTATCGGTGCACGAAACTCACAGCCTCCAACCCAAGTCAATCAATCGTTTCCAGGTTGAATTTTATCACGTCGGCCCTGATGACAGTGGTCTCTTGGCCAACGTTTCGCATTCCACCCCCAATGAGCTCGGAGGTAGAGGTCTTGCTTTTCTTATCCTTTGCAGCCCGTTCCAGTGCACTGGAGCGTTTCTACCAAGGACAGGGCACTCAAGCATCTACACGGGTCCTCTCTTGCCATGAACGCATTCATCGAGTTTGGTTTGGGAAGCAGTCAGCAGGCCGCTGAGAGTTTCGGATGATGGATTTGGACAGCTGATCCAGCAGATGCTGAGAATGGTTGGGATATCTTTCTGTTTCGTGTCTTGGGTCCTTTCCACTTGTATGTCACATATTTAGACCAAGCATGGTTGAAGGTGGTTCAAAGCTTCGATTTACGACCCGAAACCAAAGTCACAAGAAACCGAAAGGTGAACGTGCTTTCTGTTTTGCCATGCTTTGTTGCAGCTGTGTAGGTGACGATTTTGTGGCTCTTGGCTACGGTGACTCTGTCGTTGCCTGCTGGAACTTTGTTGCGAGCAGCTTCCTCAAAGGGTTTTGTTGATGCCATCTGGACTTTGTGGACTCAGAGCTTGATTTCCCGTGCACAGGCGCCAACGCTACGATGCGAACAGTCTTGGCCTCGTACAAAACACTGCCGAGTGAATGGGAATGGCTCGAGTGGTGAGTGTTGTGTACTGATTTTGTTTGTCGGAAGCTTCACAGAGCACAATGGATGGTGGCAAAGAGGAGGAATTGCATGCCACAAATCGCTGTGAGGTGACACCGACGTTTGCAGTCTCAAGACCTGAGCTGGGTGCCAAGTACCAAGACATCCTGCCCTAGTCTGATCTTTCTTCCAACTTCTCGCAGTTTCGAGAGCCTGCATGAGGTTTGATGGACCGGTCATTTGCATGCGAGGTGCCATGCCGGTTTTCGAAGCCGCTAAATTCTAGCTTGGTATCTGTTCCTGTTTCCTAGGACGAATTCCATCAGTCTTAAACCTTTATCTTGGCACGTGATGGGCTTTATTTCAGGCCCAACAGTTATTTCAGTCTCGCTGGCAAGCACTTTAACTAGACTTTGGGGTGTGAAGGACACTGCATGTAAGCAAGCTGAGAAAAGGACATGACAAGCCTTTGCACTGAGAATGACGGAAGGTGTGTGAAGCCCTGAAGCGGGAAATGATATGATTAATCTGGCTTGCGTCGCTTACCATCCTCAACCCGGCTCGGCACAGCGTTGTTGGTGTTCGCAGGTAGTCTCAAGCCAGGATTCTCAGATGGCACTGGTACGGTTTGGGACCGACCTCTCAATCTCAAACAGTCTCAACTTGATACTGCTATGGGTCAAGAGTGGAATCATTCAAAATAGCTGGCTATGATTCCATATCAACAATATATCAACTATTTGCCAATATCTTCATCAACTATTTTGATACCAAAGACCAGGTCATCCGACCTGGTGGTGGCATGTGGAGCTCCAGCGCAGCCACGTTTCTACCGTGTCTGGCTGGCATGTTTTCTTTTGTTGTTTAAAGATTATTGCTTACATGAAATTGATATGCATTATAAATTATAATTATATTGCATTTATTGTGCATTTATATCCGTTGATATCCCTTAATCTTTCTATTTTTCTGCCTTCAAGACGGCCTGAAAGTATTTTTTTTGGCAAAAAGTGAAGGAAAGACACCTCAGTATTCTTTGTGATTCTGAATATGTTGACATCATCAACGGATACGGGGACTGAGAGAGGCGAGACTCAGATTTTACGTAAACAGTTTGAACAGGAGTAACAGGAGTCATTTTTTGAAAGTGCCACAATCAGGCTCTGTGTGTCTATTTCCTCGAACCATCGCGGCTGTTTGATCTCAGTCTGGATGAATGTAGGACACGATACTAGCTTTCAATTGGAGCCAGAACAGATAACACCCACTTGCATCTGGGATTTAGATTTGACACCCCCAGCTATAGGATTTCAGGCACTGTCAACTCTCCTTTAGAGAACTCAGATGAAATGAACCAATGCATTCAAGTCTCAGATAGCTTCTAGACAGTTGCCAACTGGAACTTTGGTAGTCTCAGAACTGCACGCGCCTGTGTAGAAACATCTAGGCAGGGATGCATCCGTATCTATTCAGTTACTGTAAGTGACGATGAGCGAAACATCGACGCCTTTCGCTGCCATTGGGAACAGCCCTTGCCCCCAGTGGATGATCACTGTGTGTTGAGCTGGGTCTGACCCAGATTATACATTGGACGGGGTCAATACCAATTGATATTTGCATGTGAAACTTGGATAAACTTGGAACATGACAAGGCTTCCACCAGTGCATCTATCGAGACCTTTCCAGCTGCAATCCCTATTCTTGAAGGTAACACGGTTGTCACCTTGCAGCAGCCTTCAGGTCGGGCTACGTGGAATATGTCTTCCGTTGCCCGTTGTGTGCTGCTATGCGTGGGCTGCAACATCTGCTGGCCACGGGCTTGGGAATTGCTAGACAGCAGTCACTAGTTGTGTGTCTAAATTGAACAGATCGACACCTCCGCAGTGAAGCCATGGGTGCCAAGTATCCCCATATCCCCCTAAGCTTCCTGGCTTTTTGACTTGGGGTAGCCGGACACACTGCAGGTTCGCGTGCGCCCTGAGCCCAACCTCTGGGCGCTTGTGGCAAGGCCCTGTTTGCGTCGTGCTGCTGGCACTTGTGGCGTTTTTGACCTCGGAGAATCGTGGCGGACTGACGCTGGTGCGGCCTCAGAGGTTGTCCCAACAAGTTCTGGTTTAGGGATGGAAGGGATGGAAGGGATGGAAGGGATGGAAGGTAGCTATGGATCAAGTTCTGGTTTAGGGATCAAAAATGATCAAAAACCTTATTCTTTGGAGGGGATGAATCCGATGAACAAAAAAATCTATCCCAACAGGCAGTCTTTCTATTTCTATCCTTGGTTGATCGCAGATTCTTGTCGATGTGCACAGGATTATTTTCAATCTTTGATGCAGCGTCAGGTACTGGTTCTCTACATGATTCTGGGTCTTATTGCAGCCCCTCAGCAGCATTTATGCTACTCCATCTTTGAAACTTCATAGAGGCTGCAGTCAAAGTGCACTACCGATCTAAGCGCTCTTGCCTCACCAAGGATTCGATCCAGGTGCCGGGCCAGCGTTTGACCAAGAAGCTGCTGTGTCACATGGTGAGTTCCAGCGATTTTTGCCTTCCGACCCTGGACAACAGAGCCTGGGATGATGGCTGATACCCCCACCATGGCCACTTTTAATCATTTGTATGGGAACACTAGAAAGATTAGAAAGAGGATTTTCATGGATTTTCCAAACCACAGAATTTTAGTGTTTTTTCCTCCCCTGAATTTTCAGAGCCATTTTGCTTCGCGCAGGTCACGTCTGGGGCCATGTCCTTTGACACTTTGGCTCTGTCCGTGGGCCCTTTACCGCTCTGGTTCTTGGCGCTGTGGGCGAACTTTGGCTGTGTGGTTGCTACCTAAGCTTCTGAGTGGGGATGGTCGTTAATCCATTTTCATACGGATGTATATATAGCCTCGTCCGCGCTTCTGGAACTGCGCACACCCCGAATTAGGTTGATAAAACTTGTCAATTCCGGGACGAAATTTCGTCCCGGAATTGACAAGTTTCATTAGGGTCGTCATCATCATCATCATCATCATCCTCGTCATCCTCGTCATCCTCGTCATCATCATCATCATCATCATCATCATCATCATCATCAACATCAACTGCTTCTGCAAGTTCACATGAACGTTAACATCCCACCCCATCCCCCCCACCCCACCCCGCGTGTGCGTAGCATCAACTGCTTCTGCAAGTTCACATGAACGTTAACATTCCACCCCATCCCCCCCCACCCCACTTCGCGTGTGCGTAGCATCAACTGCTTCTGCAAGTTCGCATGAACGTTAACATCCCACCCCACCCCCCCACCCCACCCCGCGTGTGCGTAGCATCAACTGCTTCTGCAAGTTCACATGAACGTTAACATCCCACCCCATCCCCCCCCACCCCACTTCGCGTGTGCGTAGCATCAACTGCTTCTGCAGTTCGCATGAACGTTAACATCCCACCCCCCCACCCCCCCACCCCATCGTATGTAGTTCCAGGAGGTGGGACGAGCCTATATATACATATATAATTATATATATATACGTATATATGTATATATGTAATAGATAAACATTATAAGGACTCCCATTCGTGATGATGGGGATGACCATAAAAACCCATTCGTCCAGATTAATCCCATCTTTTGGCCATGGCAGATGTGATGTGCAGGTTTTTTGAATTAATTGCCAAGCATGATGATGGCATGATGTCACCAGGCTGAGTACCTTCTGATGTTCAGGGCTTGGCTTGTCCAGAGCTCAGGCTTAGATCAAATGCAATCAGAATAAGCGGAAGATGATAGTCCCAGATATTGACAGGCAATTTTAAGGACTATTGTCATCTTCCACTTGTTTATGGACTGTTTAAGGGACAATTTACAGGAAAAGCCTGATATTTGGATTTACAAAACCCATGGTTTCCGGTGAAGATTTTCGCGTGAAAAACCAATCCATTGGAATGGTATGGAATGGTCAACTGTTCTTCTTGGAATCAGCCACTTGGCGAAGCTGCACCAAGGTCTCTTGTGCTTTGCTTGGTGCAGTCTTTGGGCCTTTGGCATACCTGGGTGGTGAGCAGTTCAAAGCGTTGCAAGTCCATGGAAGGTGCCGAGCCCGAATCCACCTGGCATTGTTTCCGGATTTGCCAAGGGAAGCATCAAAGACTTGCATATTTGGAAGGACACTCAAATAGAAGGGGGCAGTTCTTTTTTCACACCCAGGCCAATTACTTGCCACTCTTTACAGTATATCATTCTTGCAAACTTCTGACTGAAAATATGCAAACAACATCAACAAACTGTGGTCTCAAGACTGGTTGGATGACATTCTTACCCGACTCTTGGGTGACCCGCTGTCTTGAGATCAGGTTTGGCATTCTGATGATCTCCTTGGAGTGGGCCATCTGCTTTCCGCTGCTGGTGTGTATTGCTGACTTCTGCATGAGCTTGAAATCTAGACACGCTGGATCTGACTAGCTCGAAAATTTCAGCGCTGCCGCTATTGAAGCTGATCTGGGGAACATCCAGCTACACCAGCTTGATGCAAAAAGGTGGGTAGGGAATCAATAACTGTGAAGAATTCTGAAGGATTTCAGGGATACAAGAATGGTGTAGCAGAAAGGACACACCTATCATAAATCTTTGTGCATGCTCTGCACATACTGAATTCGCTTTGCCAGTATGTTTTGATCTGCACCACACGGATCGTTCTGATGACATATGGATATATGATATATGATATATGTGTAGATGTAATAATGATAGCAATAGTAGTCATAGTAATAATGATAAATATAAAGATAATCAAGATAATTATGATAATAATGATAATAGTGATAATACTGATAATACTGATACTAATGATACTAATGATAATAATAATAATAATGATAATAATGATGATAATAATGATAACAACAATGATGATAATACTAAGCATAATATTATATATATATAGATATGTTTATATATATATACAGTATACATATGGATATATATATATATGTATATATATATAATGCGTATACACATAAACTATTTTGGTTCTGAGTTGCAAGGGTTTTTGGTAGCTACCGGAGAGGTCTCTGCGCTCCATGGCAGGTATCTCCCCCGAAATCTAAGAAGGCTTCAGCGCTCATAGTGCGGAGCTTAGTCTTAGGATCGAGACAAGCGGCGACAAGCGACAAGGGTCACGTTGTGACAACGCAGAGCAGTGCCAAAATACTAGAATTCTGAACATCTAACCATCATTTTGAAGTAGATGAAACATTCCAAATTTTGTTTCCATTCATATCTGGAGCAGAGGGCACGGCCTTCGCAACGGAATGAAGCACTCAGGAATCCTTGACACCTGCAGTTTCCTTGGAGAGCGACAAGGCCTTTTCCCCTAGGGCCCCAGGGTGGGAACAAAGTGGCAAAATGTGGGAAAACTGTGCCAAATTGGCTGGTAAGATTTCTGATTTCCTTTCTCCACTGTTCATGACTTGATTTGCTCATGAGCCTCTTAGGTTGAGAAGAAGCGCACTGCTGCAGTGGGCTTGGAGAGCTAGCAGCGTGTGACAGGAAGATAATCTGAACTCTTGTAGGAAGTTGCACTTATTCTTCTTTTGAAGCCTTTGGTGCAATAGGGGTCTTGTTGCAAGGCTCCCACTGCTGTTCCTGAGACTGTCTCGCTGCGACCCCAGTGTGTCACAGTGTGTCTATAAAGAAATCGTTGCTCATTTTTTTTGTGAATTCCATATTGATACAGACGCAACCTGCTGTAGGCGCAAGCGGCCGAAGTCAAATGATGTGAAGGCTTGAGCAGTGAGTTGTTTGCACTGGGATGCCACATTCTTAAAAAACATTTCCACAGCAGTCGTTGTCTGCTCCAGAAAGGACAGAAAGATCTCGGTTTTCTTGTTGCTTTTCTGTGCATTCAGAGATAGCTGACATTGTGACACACAGTGATGCTGACATTGTGACATGTAGCCAAAGTATCGCATCGTATGCTTGAAACCGGATCACTGTCATAATGCGAGTCGCCATTCAGCAACTTGGGCTCCAGCTGTGCCACATTCTCATCGCCTGCGAAAAAAAGGTGAGTTTAAACCGTGGCATGGCTCGTCTCAGATACCTCAACACATTCATCGATGCAGATTCCTGTGAGCCTCCAGTATTGTCATCTAGGAGCTGGCCGCTCCTTCCTGGTGTGAAGCACAACACCATGGAGGAGAGGCAGGCAGCTGGCTATGTGGCCGAGTTGAACCACATTGCGGTTGAACCGGCAATGGCACCAGAGCCACAGGAACAGGCCGAGGAAAGGGCTTGTGAATTTGAGACAGTGGAAGCAGAAGTGAACAGAAGCAACCAGATCGACAACCGTATCGGCAACCAGACTGGCAACCAAGAGTCAGCAGAGGCGGCAGTGGAAGGTCATGACTATGTTCCGGAGCCAGGGATTCTGGTGATTCCCAGCGTGGGTAGTCATGGACATCCAGTTCTGTGTCGCCGTCCATGCATCCGCTTTGCCAAGGGGAGCTGCGAGATGGGAGATGCCTGCGACTATTGCCACGTGGGCCAACATTTTCAGTTCAAGGCCTTGGACAAGCGTCAGCGACTTCAAGTGCGAAAGATGGACGCTTTGGCTGTGGCAAAACCCTTCTTGCTCTGATCTTTCTTTTTTTCCCCTGATTTTTGATGATTTTTGAGCAATGACTATAGGCAGTGCATCAAATTATGATATAGGGTTGCACTGGAGAATCATTCTGCTTTGATGTTTGTCAGCGTGTCTCCTCGAGGAAACTTCTGAGCTTCTTGCCGTATTCCTGCCGCACATCCGTCGTTCCGTTCGAATTGCCGCAGTGCCAGCAGCAGAGATCGTTGAGATGATTGAAGAGGAGATCGGCCCGGGGATTCGTGGATCTTGTGGGGATCGGCTTCTTGATCAGACCCTGCGACAAATGTCACTGTCGGCGTTTCTTGCATTCATCACTGGGAGAGATGGGGATTTCGCAGCCTCACTCCGAGAGCGGGTAGAAACCCTTCGACTTAGTCTAGCATGATCGCTTGGAACTGGTCAGTGCTGAGTGGATGCTGAGAAGAGAGATCATTGGTCCTCCCGCTTCCGCTTTGCCAAAATCACGGCCGAGCAGTGGTGCAGTGGAAAGGTCTAGGAGGAAGAGTGTCAACTCTCTTTCTTTCTTTCTTTCTGATTCTCTTTTCTTTTTTTCCCTCTCTCTCTCTCTCTCGCCCTCTCTCTCCCTCTCTTTTTCCACCACCATGTGCCACCGTATAGTCTTTAAGGATCTGTAAGTTCATTGCAAAGCAACGAACTGGTCAGTGTCACTGCAAAGCAGTGAACTGGTTTTAGCACTACTCACTTATACAAACTGCTTAGCCGTTACATAATCGGAGATATGGAATCTGCAGATCAAAGCCATAGACTGAGCTGATCCTCATGTAAGATCACAGTTTCTCGGTCATGTTCAGTAATTGCAGATGCTGGATCCATTCTTCAGCTTCTGAAATTCAGAGATCACTTGGAACACCTAGGCATTTAGTCCTCGTTGTATCAAGTGTGAGCCACACGAAGGTGGGACAGAAACAAAAGCGTGCTGAGTGCTGGCTCCTACTCTCCTGGCACAGCAGCTTAGACACTGCAAGCGAGAAACTCTTCTTTGGAGCATGAATATTCGATCAATTTGATCAAGACAGTTTTCAAAGTGGCTCTCAGCTCACTTTCATTTTTTCCATGTCGCGAATTTGATAGGAGTCAACACGGCCAAAGCAGTCCGTAGCCAAGTCTTTCAATCTTTGAGAATCTTTGAGTCATTTCGTCTGGGCCTTTCCGCCAAAATGCCATCATTCTGAAAGACAGCCCCTGGAAGCATCGGTCCTGTTTGAAGTCACTTAAATGGAATGCAATGTGGTATCACTATTACTTTCCATTTGAACACTGGTAACACAAATGGATTATGGCATGGCAAATTCCCAAAGACTTACCATAAATGGAGAAATGGTTTGTAAAAGCGATCCTCGCATGGCAGCTGTGCCAACGTCCCAAGGCCTCTTCCTGCAAGTCGTTCAGAGCTTGAAGGCTGAAATCTGCTTCCGAACGCACACCTTCTGCCCAAAGGCCTCAAGTTCTATGCATTTTATTGATTAATATATACATATATATATATATGTATATATATATATCTATATACATATATATATATATATGTATATATATGTATATATATATGTATATATATATATATATATGTATATATATGTATATATATGTATATATATACAGTAATATTTTATTATGTAATTATTTAATTAGTAATTATATATATATACATACATATACATATCATGTCATATATGGCTAGTAGCTCAAGATGGGATCCCATATCGTATACCATTACAATTTCAAACTATGAAAAGATCCCATAATAAAATTCAACACATACACACCAATGGAAAATCCCATGGACAATAAATCATAATCCCATGGAACATGTGGGGGTGGACCTACTCGCGAGGCAGCCAGTTGTCCTTAGCACCAATGCTAAGACAGCACCTGCGATCCAAGGCGCAAGATCGGAAAGGATTGGTCATTCATGGTATGGCAAGCCCCGAAAAGGACATTTGGATTATATTGGGGCTAAATTTAATTGTATATTGGTCACAATATGGTCCAATATCATCCAATCTTTGTGGTAAGTGGATGCAAGTGGTATATCACTTTGCCGCATCTTTTTTGAGGTGACATGGTAGATAGAAGTAAATAGTCTCTTCATTGGATTGGTTTAAGGGAACATTTACAGGAAACTCCCATTTTTACTGGTAAAGACCATGGTTTCTGGTTAAGATTTTCCCTTCAACCAATCCAAGGATCTCTCTTACAGTGACAGCATCCATGGTCCGAAAATCGTCTCAACGCCAGGACAGCAGTGCATTGGACAAGTCTTTGGTGCTGAAAGATCGAGCTGTCATGGACGCTGGGGTGTTGCATCCCATGGAACATCCGTTTTGGCCCATGACTTCATTGGTTATTAGTTCAGTTATATCAATTACATACCTGCCAAGTTTCCCCAAACCAAAGAACAGTTTTTATCTTATATATTGTATATATATATACATATATATATATATCTGTGTATGTATATATGTATGTATACTTTTGCATATATTCAGATATTTCATAGACACATCCAATCACACACACACACACGCACACACACACTTGCCTGCATACTGCATGCATGCATACGTACGTGCGTACATAGCTACATATCCATATATCAAGCATGTATAACTTATTAGCTGTGTTTAGTTACAGTAGTTACATATCCATATACATAGTTACATACATATTAAGCATATTCGGTAAGTTCGGCTCAGGACACGTCCGCTGCAGAGCTTTCTGGTGTGGAGGCCTTTGATTTGCTCCACGAGTGCGTTGGGAGCTGAGTGCAACTTCCGAGCAGCACGTGTAGCAGCTTAGCATGGCGATGAATGATTTATCCATTAGTACAATCATATACAGTACATCATATATGATCACATACTTAGTAGAAATATCCAGAACAAGCTGAATATCCCTCAACTCTTAACTCTTGTCATGTACTGGGGATGGTTGTCTCTTTATCATGCTTATCTTCTGCTTCCAGGCAAAACGTGTTATGGAAAGTCCTGCGCAGACCGCAGTACGCTCGCCTGGATCAGTTTTTTGAGTCACAGCTCAGAGTTTCACATGTTCAGTGACCTGGATGTTTAGCTGAAGATGGACCAGAGTCACCAGACTTCGGAAATTCTGGAAGGACCTTTAAGATCTAAAGATTCGTAGTGTTCTTCTTGATTCATCAGCGCAGCCATGTTGCGTACAGCCAACAAGGTATACTGTGCATGGATCCAGCGAATCGTGCTCCATCATGGCACGGGCGTTGGGAGCGAGTGTGCTTGGTGTTGATTTTCTGTTGATTTTGGTAGACATCCGTATTGACCTTATTATACCGTATTGCCTTATTGTGACTGCCATTACATTTCCATACATTTCCCAGGATACTCCGATACTCTTCTTTCTTTTTTGAGGCTGACAAAGAAACGGTATCCACCGAAAGTCAAGTGTAGCCTGTATGTCAGATGGATAAGTGGTCGGAGAAGCCATTCCTGACATCACAAGTCACCAGCTTCTACTGCAATCACTGATACTATGTGATGTTGGCTGTGTTCTCAATCCTTCACCACGACAGGGACGTTCCTCCGCTCGCATCCCACACTGGCAGATAGTCTGAGGTGCAGCACAAGTTATTCAAGGGGTTGTACTAACTGGCCTATGGGGAATCATTTTAGTAGGCCAGAAGGTTAGTACAACCAGGAGGGATGTACCAATCATTATACAGGAGGGAAATGCCAACCTGCCCTTGGTTGGCCCAATAGAACTTGACGTTGGTCTGGAAGTTGCGCTCTAGACAAGACATGTGGATGAGTGGACAGACCTTTTCTCTGTTGAAATATAAATATTGGCAAACTAAGAGCTGCTCTGCGGCTACTCCAATTCTTGCGGCCCACATCCGCTCCCTTTCAGATTTGTCACAGACTTAAATTTTGCGCTCTGTTGGTCGAACGATCCCACACCCCTGGAGGCAATTCTACGAATCGGCACAGTACCGGTGTGTGAGATTCTTAGCACCCGAGGTTACGGATGACACTTGTGACATCCTGAAAGCTTGTATGACAGAAAAGATCGCTTTGTTTGTGGAAATGTCTTCACTACCTGGAGTGACAACCTTCCTTTGTGTTAAGTAATCTTGTCCATGCCCGCTTTGGCGAAGCGTACCTATGTATTCACCAGTGCAGCAACTCTGAACAACTCTGCAACTCCTGCAGACAACCTATCGTCATATGCGGCGAATGCATGGACGGATTCGGCACCTGCTCGTGTCTGGAAAGAAGGCAGGGGGGTTCAGGACCATATTCAAGATTTCACCGCAAGCTAAAGAGGAAGGGGGCGTGGGATCCAGCTACTTTTGACTCCACCCTTTTCACATTTTTTGCAATTTCTGCAATTTCTGCAACTCCACAGATTTCTGTGAAAATTTGAGTGGCAGCCGGTGGCAGCTGAAGGATTGACAGGTTTCACCAATCCATCACTTGTGGCCTTGCTGTTTGCTGACAGATTATGGACAGCGAGTCCACGGAAATCACAAAGCCTTTGTGCGGATCCAAGATGGACTTTGATGAACTGGGAAACGGCGCATTCTGCATGCCAGAGAATGTCAGATCGTGCCCTCTGTGTGAAGGCTTTTAACCATATTGTAGTCTTCAAAGTTTGCTGAATTGAATCTTTGCACACTACCACAAAGAGAAAAAGAAGAACGATGCTTAGGTTCTACAGGACTTCAATAATGGCTGGATTGTTGAAGGGTACATACTATATAATACAATAAATAATTAACATAAATAAATGAGTACAAGTGTCTATCTATCGATCTATCTCTCGATCTATCTCTCGATCTATCTCTCGATCTATCTCTCGATCTATCTCTCGATCTATCTCTCGATCTATCTTTCGATCTATCTGTCGATCTATCTGTCGATCTATCTGTCGATCTATCTGTCGATCTATCTCTCGATCTATCTGTCGATCTATCTGTCGATCTATCGATCGATCTATCCATCGATCTATCTCTCGATCTATCTCTCGATCTATCTATCGATCTATCTATCGATCTATCTATCGATCTATCTATCGATCTATCTATCGATCTATCTATCGATCTATCTATAGATCTATCTGTCGATCTGTCTATCGATCTATCGATCGATCTATCGATCGATCTATCGATCGATCTATCGATCGATCTATCGATCGATCTATCGATCGATCTATCGATCGATCTATCGATCGATCTATCGATCGATCTATCGATCTATCGATCTATCTATCGATCTATCTATCGATCTATCTATCGATCTATCTATCGATCTATCTATCGATCTATCTATCGATCTATCTCTCCATCTATCTCTCGATCTATCTCTCGATCTATCTCTCGATCTATCTCTCGATCTATCTCTCGATCTATCTATCGATCTAGCTATCGATCTATCTATCGATCTATCTATTTATCTATCGATCTATCTATCGACCTATCTATCGATCTATCTATCGATCTATCTATCGATCTATCTATCGATCTATCGATCGATCTATCTATCTATCTATCGATCGATCTATCTATCGATCTATCTATCGATCTATCTCTCGATCTATCGATCGATCTATCTCTCGCTCTATCTCTATCTCTATCTCTATCTCTATCTCTATCTCTATCTATCTCTATCTATCTCTATTTATCTCTATCTATCTCTATCTAAGTCTATCTATCTCTATCTAAGTCTATCTAAGTCTATCTATCTCTATCTATCTCTATCTATCTCCATCTATCTCTATCTAAGTATCTCTATCTCTATCTATCTCTATCTATCTCTATCTATCTCAATTTCTATCTAAGTATCTCTATCTCTATCTAAGTATCTCTGTCTCTATCTAAGTATCTCTATCTCTATCTAAGTATCTCTATCTCTATCTAAGTATCTCTATCTCTATCTAAGTATCTCTATCTCTATCTAAGTATCTCTATCTCTATCTAAGTATCTCTATCTCTATCTAAGTATCTCTATCTCTATCTAAGTATCTCTATCTCTATCTAAGTATCTCTATCTCTATCTAAGTATCTCTATCTCTATCTAAGTATCTCTATCTCTATCTAAGTATCTCTATCTCTATCTAAGTATCTCTATCTCTATCTAAGTATCTCTATCTCTATCTAAGTATCTCTATCTCTATCTAAGTATCTCTATCTCTATCTAAGTATCTAAGTATCTCTATCTCTATCTAAGTATCTCTATCTCTATCTAAGTATCTCTATCTCTATCTAAGTATCTCTATCTCTATCTAAGTATCTCTATCTCTATCTAAGTATCTCTATCTCTATCTAAGTATCTCTATCTCTATCTAAGTATCTCTATCTCTATCTAAGTATCTCTATCTCTATCTAAGTATCTCTATCTCTATCTAAGTATCTCTATCTCTATCTAAGTATCTCTATCTCTATCTAAGTATCTCTATCTCTATCTAAGTATCTCCATCTCTATCTAAGTATCTCTATCTCTATCTAAGTATCTCTATCTCTATCTAAGTATCTCTATCTCTACCTAAGTATCTCTATCTCTATCTAAGTATCTCTATCTAAGTATCTCTATCTAAGTATCTCTATCTAAGTATCTCTATCTAAGTATCTCTATCTAAGTATCTCTATCTAAGTATCTCTATCTAAGTATCTCTATCTAAGTATCTCTATCTAAGTATCTCTATCTAAGTATCTCTATCTATCTCTATCTCTATCTATCTATCTATCTATCTATCTATCTATCTATCTATTTATCTCTATGCATATATATGTATACAAACTAAATACACATACACAAGCCACGTTTTTGTCAACATAGGATGGAACCCAAAACTTGCAGACAAAGCCGCGAGGTTGGAATATGTCGAAGGTGATGAAGATTTTGATGATGCAGATGATGAGGAAGAGAAGGAGAACGATGACGAGGCGGTTCTGCGGCTGTGGTGAACCGCGAAGAGAGTGAACTTTGAGAAATCCATGGGTGCTCTCGGGTGCCCATGCATGTCGTGTGACAGTATGCCTGGTGTGTTTGGGTGGAACTAGTGGAAACCTTACCAACTATGCTGATGACAGGATGATGATGGTGATAGTGGAGATGATGAGGTGCAGAAGGGTCGCCTCAAAGCTAGTTTGCTTGCCTGATGATTTCAGCAGGACGCAGTATGTGGCAGAGTGTAGTCAATAATAATGATAACAAAATAATCATAGTCATAATAATAGACATAATAATAGTCATAATGACAATAATAATAACAATAATAATAATGAAACAAGTTCAATCATAAACTGCACAGTACTGCCTGAAACACGAGAATACACCAGCATGACTCACTAGTCTTTGCGAAGGACATTGATTTCGACGATGCCTTCGACGATATGTCTGGCGACTGACTCCCAGCTAAGCTGGACAGTTGCAGAACGCAAAAGAGACGATCGCCGCATCTGGAGAGTTGGAAGGGGATGAATGTGAAGAAACGACGAAGTGAATGTCAAACCGAGTTAGTTTGGATGAAGATTGATGAGGTGTCAGTTCTGAATGCTCACATGTTACATGACAGACTTTACCCTGAGCTTACTCCAGCTGACAGCGAGATCTTCATGGAACCAATCATGAAGGCCCCAGACAGAAGGAATTGATATGACCAAGAGCATCACGAGGAACTAGCGAGGGACATAGTAAGGGATGCAACAGACTGTTGACATCACAGTCATCCTACGTACCTTTTAAATCCTTTTAAGTCATGAACTGGGAGATCCTTTGCACTTCAGATTTTTCTGCTGGCAACAATAGCAAGAAACAGATCACCCGGTCAGATTCTGGTCACAACCCAGATGAGAGCTTGGCAATTGCGGCCATGGGCAACGTGGATACCGTGGTCTCTGGCATATCTGGCCCCTTTCCCTGCTTTGCTGGCAGCAAAAGGCGATCCCAGCTGCTGGTTGGATGGAGTCACCTGGGCACAGTGCTGTGGCCTGGCAGCATAAAAGTTTGTGGAAAGTGGTGATCTTTCACTTCTTTCATTTCTTATTTTTGAGCTGGGAAGTACATGGAAGTGCCATATCTAGGCAAAAAGAATCAAAAAGATGACCAACTGACTTTTTCCATCTTTTTCCTACAAATATAGGCGCCCCAGCTCATCATGGTACATGACATTTCCTTGCTGGTAAGGTGCACCGAAATTTGGCCCGGAGGCAGAACTCTTGGGTGGAGATGGAACAGGAGGCATAATCGATCCAAGCAGTCCTCAAGAAAAGATGGGTGGGGGCATGTTCCACCGATCAGCATATCAATGCAGATTGCCAGGGATTTTCCTGAGGGGATGTTGTTTGGTGCTTGGTTTGATGGGTTGCTGTTTTTTGGTGGTTCATTGGTGTGGTTGGCAAATTGATAACGATCAGACCAGGGAAATCCTGGCTGCTGGGGTGGCGACTTCAACTTCGAGCGCTGTTGCATTGATGCCAATGAGCCAAAGCCAGATCCGCTGGTCACCGAAGTGACTGTGCTTTGGACTGATCTTGGTGGACAGTTTTGAATAGTCTCTTCAGAGTCTTTGCTTTGGACCATGATTCTTCTACTCTGTCCCCCTCTCTGTTTCTGTGAAATGCCTTGGCACTAGCTTAGTATCCAAGGCGTATCCAGACTGCATGGTACGAGGAGTTGTACTGCGGCATGAAGGTGAACATGCAATCTTTGCAGACCTCTCCCTCTTTGGGCATGCAGGATGTTTCTTAAACGATTGCAGCTCTGCCACACGTTTTACTTCTTCGAAAGTGCATCAGTTTTTTTCCTAGATGACTATTAATGATTATTATGTGAGGGACTCTTAAAATGTTGCCCTCCTAGCATTTCTCCATTGAATGACCCGAACAGACAGGTAAGCTGACGGACAAGTTTGAAGCCGTGGACCCTGGAATTTGCGCGCGGGCATGCGCGGCCACCGAAGCGTGCACACACTGGAGCTATGGGCAGCAGTATGGCACCAAGAAGTGCTTCCTCCGGAAGTCTGACGGAGGCCTTTGGAGGTATTTTGGATGTCCTTAGCCCAACAAAACGAGTCTTAAGGCCCTTTTGGTTCGTAGAAGACTTGCACTCCAACGTTGCCTGAAGTGTTTCATGTTTTTGAATTCAGTGGCCGATGCGTGGGGAATTAAAAGTTGTTATAGCTACAAGCCGAAGAGTCAAGATCAGGACTGTAGAGTCGAATCTTTGTTGCGTGTTGATCCTTTGACATTTACCAATTTACCACTTGGCACTTTTGTGGCACTTCCCCCTCCAGTAATTTAACATAGACATGTTACTTCATCGCCAGAGGCCGAGCATCTCTAGCACATTGGACCTCTGGCGTAAAGGCCTGCGTGCCCCCAGCCTTGCCCCCAGCAGCGGTGGCGTTGCGCGCTGGGACCTGCGAAGGACTGAAAAAGTGTGATGCAGGAAAAGGAGATGAGTGTCCAAATGATCCTCAACTGCATAAAGATCGCGGTTTGTTAGTTTGGATTACTAAGTATAGTGTAGTGAAATTTGATAAATTCTTAACTGATTTGAGGATTCCTTTTTTTGTTTGCGTGACCTGAATCGTGATGATAGAGCCCTCGAAACCTTTTGGGATTGAAGGTGGACCAGATGTGTTGCAATGAATTTTCAGCCATCTCCCTTTGGACGAAAAAACATCATCAAAACGAAGAACAGGTGGTAGCTGCAGCAAACACTTGGATCTTTGCCATCAATCACATGAAACGTGCCTTTCGTGGCAGAGTGGATGCGGATACCTGGAACCACATTGAGCGCATTGGCAAAGAGTCAGAGAACTTTCTGAATCAACTTACTTCACCATACCGACCCAGTGACAAAGACTTTCCACGTGTAGTCTACAACAACAGGTCCGGAACTTTGAGGGCTTGTGTGTCAGTTGGAAGTTTGACTTGGCAAAAGAATAACGAGACTCTGCTCAAATCTGGGAACGGCTCTCAAAGATGCTTGTCTCCTTTGTGCTAGGCACAGTTTCATTCCTTTTCAAGATGTGGGGATAAGTCCAAACCTTCTTTTTTAAACCATAGTTTTTTTGGGATGAACATCCATAATTCCCAGCGATTTTGATGTAAAGGGCCACACCTTGGAGGTTGATCTTCTCACACTTGGAAGATGCACTGGCTTCGCAACCACAAGTGACCTTCTCTAGTGAGGATGCTTCGCTGCCGCTCCTGAGCTGACCATAATTTTGATGGTTTACCAATCATTTTCTAGATTAAAGTGGCCATAAACTATCATAAACTGGGATATCCGGGGTATCCCTGATTTTCCCGGTGAAGGCAAAAATCTGAATTTTTAGATATGGATCATCCCAAGCAGCAGTCGATTTCGGGGGGTCTCCAGAATCGCTCCGCTTCGCCAAGGAATCCGCTGCGCTTTGGCAGCCTCTGTGGAAACATCTCTTGCTACGAGCTCTGATGCTGTCGGAAAATGGAGATGACCTGTGTTGAAAAATTGGAAGATGGGGGAAGGTGGTCTGGGTATGTCTGGGTCATATTCCCATCATCCAAAAGTGACCAAAATCTGGAACTGATGAACCAAAGGCCTCAAGTTTTGACCAGCATATCAAGAGAACAAGCCAGTTGCATCATAGTATCATCCTTGACTCTACATCCGATGCTCAAGGGAATTCGGCTGAAGCCTGTGCGTGCAATTGAACCACATGGACTGTCTCCAGCCGAGCATGGCAAACGATACACAACCGCATTTCAAGTGGGTTCTTTGGAAACAAATCCCAGCCCCAGACGTCTTAAAGTTCACAAAAACATTGCATTTGCGCTCAAAAGTGCAAGTTCTCATAGTGCATTGCAAGCTTGTTGCTTGAACATGACAGGTGTATCAACAGAAACGATTTTGCAAGCTCCTTCTGGAAGTTCCTTATATAATTTATATAAACTTATATAGTAGATTTGATTAACGACAAGAATGATGGCATTTAGCAGGTCTCCAGGGGACTCCAACGACAGATCTGCAGTGACGCTGTCAGCGAATGCAGCGGTGAAGCCATGGAGGGCTCTGCCAGCCCAGTCTCTCCGGTCTCAGCTGCGGTAACTGCGCTGGTGCGCTACTTACTGCATAGTCCCAAAACCGCCAAAACCTCGACTTTTGCGGTGAATCCTTGAAGAATCACCTCAAAAGTTAAGGAGTTAAGGCACTGCATAATTTCATCAGAGAGACTTTTTGGGTGCTGTTTTCATAAAAAGTGGAGGGATTACAAGACTTGTCTCCAGGAGCGTGCAGCCCGTCTCTCAGATGAGGCCATTGCTGCGCAGGCGGATAGGGCATCCATGGGCATCCAATCCTGGTGTCATCCAGTTGGATCCAGTTGGAATAGTCATTTCTCATGGTGATTGATTATGAGCCATAAATGTTTGGTTGGTTATATTCATTATCATGTTTGTCATGATTGTCATATGGCATGATCTAACTCCAATAAAGCAACCAAGCAGAAACCATCCATAATATAGTTCCCATCCAATAAACAGAAATATATATATATATTTAGCCAGCCAATCATGTCCAAACGGAAACTATCATATCTATCATTTCTTTGCGCTTGCAAACAGCTCTGTTCAGCTCCAGCAGTTCTTGGACCGATGGCATTTCCAGGCCCATGGCTTGTCTCGACATGGGGAGAGGCATAGTATTGATTGGGGCTCATTTTATGGTTATTTTATGCTATTTTGGGTCAACATTTGACTGTAAATTTATGGCAAGCATGGCAATTCTAGTGGGGAAAATGATGATCAACCCTGGTTTGGCGCCATCCTTTTCACAAACCCATATCAGACTTTGTTGTCGGTCCGATGGCAAGTTCACACTATGCAAGTTTTTTGGCTCACACTTGCATCGTGTGCGTGTTTTCTCATTCTCTGAACAGATCGGAAGAGTGGACACATTCAGAGACTGAAACCAGACACCAGTACAAAAACTGGTCCGTCTTTGTTGGTGAATCAGTGAATCTTCATATTTTGTGTGTATATACTGTATGTATATATATATATTTATATATATATATACATATGAGTAACTGACAAAATTATTGTAATACTAATTTAGTCTTGCTTCGCCTTGGCCTTTCTGAGGTTGCACAAAACCTTCAGAACCGATAGGGGACGACCCTGTACCGACACTCCATTTGTGATACCTCCGGGAGTACTGAAATCCTCACAACCGATAGGGGACGACCTAATTTGTGCATGGCATTAAATTTAACATAATTTTGCACGCTACTCATATATATACATATTATATACATATATTCATACATTCTTGTATCCTCAAAATCTCCAGATTGCATTAATATGTGTGTAATAATATATATATATATATATCTATATATATATACACACATAATACATAGACAAATACATATACACATTGTACATATTCTATATGATAATATATATGACAATATATATATATATATGTATATATTGTTATATATATATGTAATAATATAAGATGACCTCCCCAAGGAGCTCGCCCTATGTTTCTTGGTTGAAGGGTTCCCCGAGGTCATGACCTCCTCCATGGGACAAAGTTGGAATCGCCTGGAGGTACCCAGGGCTCCATGGGCTCCAGGGGAAGGGACCCAGTATGGTATAGAAAAACTAGCTATATATAGTGTAAATTATAGAAAAACATATAGAACAACTATAGTTATAGATGTTATATGATGTTATAGCTATACTTGTGGAGTTAATGTTTATAATTATTGTTATAACTGTTAGATGTCAATGGAATGGTGTTTTGGGAGGTTGGAGTCCATCCTGAGGTGGTAAGATCTGCAGTGCAAATGCTGGCCTACGGCGGTGTGCTGCCCTTAGCTTGGGAATGTTCGGGATGATGGTGATTTTCTGGTGATTGAATGTGATTTCATGCTGATTTCAGGGGATTTGGTGGGATTACCCTCTGGTAACTTAAGATAGCTATGGAAAGTCACCATTTTTAATGGGAAATCATCTATAAATGGGCCATTGTCCATAGCTATGTAGAATTAGCAGAGGGTAGACCCCAAGATATGACAAAATACCCCCTGAAAAGTAAGATCATGGAACCTCAAAATGGCCATTTCCAATAGGACAATCATCTTGCAAACTCTTTCTTGTGGTTTCAATGTGAGTTTCAGGGTACCGAATCTTGCTCTCGCAAGACAGGTCCCATTGACTGAAGCCGAAATCATTAAGTTGCCGCGCATGGAGGAGGAATATATGTGCCACACTTAGCTCATATTGCTTGATGCACAGGGTATTCCCGGCATCCAAAACTGATTCAAATAAAGATGAGCCATCGAGTTCAGTGGAAGAGTCTTCGAGTCGATCTTTGCAGATTGAGAGATGGCACTCGGATTTCCTGCCTTTGTGGTGTTTAAAAAGCGTGTTAGATTAGATTCTGTTAGATGTCGAGATCTCAATCCAAACCCTGCGAAGCAAAACATACGGTGTGTTCGCTCAGGATTGACTACATTGTGGACAAGATGGACGAGTCTGTACGAGAGAGGCCTGTTCCCATAGACTTCACAACCAGCTGCCTCTCAGCGCCTTTGCCATTGCTGACACTGAGGTTTGATGAGATAACAGAAGACTATGCTGAGCTGATTGCAGCGACGCTGGATTCCCAGTCGCAAAACAAAGCCGATTTCGCATCCAGATTGTGAGATCCTGGACATTCTCTGCAGGTCCAAAACAGTTGCAGTTGCTTATGAAGTTCAGACTCGATCTTCCAGGGTCAATTTTTGCACGTTCTGCACCTTGCAAGGTGCAAGATTAGATCTGTGTTGGACCTGCGCAGCGAGCAGGATTTCATGTTTTGAGATGGGTACCTGTACTCGTACCTACGGAATAGTTCGACAGTTTGACAAATACACAAATACAAACACGAGAGTCCCCGGAGCCCCCGCTGCACCAACGCCGAAGATGTCAGAGCCCATTAGATACAACTGATTCCATCTGATTTCAACATTTTCAACCCAGTTTTCCCTTGGATCTTCCCTCGGAAGCTCATTCTGCCAGGAGATCATGGATTTGATCGAGACCGACTCCTCCGAGATGTGCCAGCAAGTTCTCAAGCAAGCTGTGCTGACCGCTGGGGGGAAGGCAGTGGTGGCGATGCGAATGGTGCTGGAGAAATGTCATCCTGCAGTGTTGTGCTTCGTTCCGACGTGATCTGAGTTTGCTTTCAGTTCCTCATGTATTTTTCACTGTGCAGGTAGCTCACTTGCACAGATGTCAAAATACGCAGGAGGCTCAGAGTACAGCCTGAGGCAAACCATCCAATGGCAGGCAGCCTGGCCCCACCTGTCATCTTGTTCCGCAACGTCCAAGGTGGGTCAACAATATGGAGACTCGTTTAGATCGACTAACGCGAGCCGCAGAGATTGCTGAAGCAGCGCAGAAGCAATTCCTGATTGTTGAGGCATGATTTCTGTGTGGCTCTCGCTTGCTGTGGGAACTCTTTTGAACAGAAACTGTAATGAACTTGCGCAGAAGCTGTGGCATTGATTGGATCCACCCCGCAGCCATTTTTGGGCTCGACCCTGTCGCATTGAGCAAACGGAACCTGAGTTGTTCTTGCGCCGTCAGTGTGGAGGCCCAAGTCTTTATATCTCAATGTTGCGAGGTGGGAAGGTCTCGGTGACGAGGATGAGGATGAGGATGATGATGATGATGACGACGACGACGACTGATGCCTATGATCTTGGGAGTCGCGTCGATTGCAAATGGACCAGATTGTTTTTTGGCAAATGTAAAGGATTGATCAGGACGGACAAGGGATCAAATAAGGGATCACGGTAAGTTGTCATTAGAACCATATATATATATATCTATCTATCAATCCAGGGTTGACGATACGTCGCTGAACTGAGCAGTGTCAAAAATCCATTGGAAAATCCCCAGAGTCATGGTTGGCATTGGTTGACGAATTTTGCAACCGCGAAAAGATCATGAAACACCAACTGAGTGCTCAACTGTGCCCAGGTTCGTGTTGCCATGAGCCGCTCCTCGGGTGAACTGGCCATTCCGCCAAGCGTGCAACTTGACTTACCGATGATTCACTGGGCAAATTCACCCTATGAGAGACATCTATTGAATCCTAGGGTAAATGATTGGGAAATTTAGTAACCATAGTAACCCTAAATTTATATAGTAACCCCCAAAATTCATCTATTGAATCTATTTGGCCCTTGGGGATTCTACCAGCTGCAATGGTCATGACAACTGAGTACTAATTTGGGGACCAGTCCATTAGGATCATTAGGTGGTACTGTCAGTGGCTCGGCAGGGGAAACTCATTTGCGGCGTCGTGCGTGAGTCTGAGGTATAGTTCTCCGAAGGGGAAGTTCTGGAAAGGTGTTCATGAGTCTGGATACCAAGCTCCTGGGACAGGGTGACAGTCTCACAATTGGAGGGACAATCTATTGGAATGCCGAAATCCAATGGTCAAAACCATGGTTCCCTGTCATTCACTGTAGATTTCCGCTGAAACCAGATGAGACAGTGGAATGCATCGGAATAATTGTGCTGAAATGTGTTTTTTTTCTTCGCATCCAAAATGTTTCGGAAGCCTCACTTCTGCTCAAATTCCTGCTTCTCACTGCCTGTTTCGCTAACTCTGGTGTCTCACTCTGGGTGTCTCTGCAAGGCTGGAGCGTTATCCGCCCGTTGTGGATGAAAACATTTTCGATGAGTGCCCAGCTGCGTGCAGGGAGGTTGGGGGAGCACAGGTCACCGCGCCCATACGATCATTAGACATCAGTTAAGAATAGCTATACGATCTTAACTAATGATACTAATGTCTGTTGTTGTCACCAGAAAATGTTTCCTGTAGATTTCACTTTTGGAACTGTAGGCTGCTTTGATCCAGAGGTACTTGAACGGGAAATCTGTGGCCCCCTCTCGGCATCAAATCTCCTTGAAGTCGCGGCTTGGCCCGACTTGGCCGGACGTAGATCTGCGGAAGTTGATGGGATTGGGATTTGACGGGATTTGATGGTGAGATTTGATGGAATTTATTGGGATTTGATGGGATCTACTTAGAATCTACTTGGTTTTGTTGGACCCCGACTGACCCAGGGAATTCCTGCAACTTCCTGAGGTCGAGGGGCCTGCTGGAATTGCATTATGACTCCATGCGCAAGAAGGCTCAGGTGCCGGTAGATCAGTGGCTGGCAGCGTTGGGAGAAGCCACCACGTGTCATTTGTGTTATTGATTTGGCAAGAAACCTTTACACATTTTATTCTGAGAAAAGCAGCTTCTGTGATGTCGGCATCTGGCTCGAGTAATTTATAGACCGAAGTTCTGTGCACAAGGCACATTTTGGATTTTTCACGATGAGCACCCATGTGGAGATTGGAAAATCTGTGTGGAACTTTCTCACAAGCACGTACTTCCAGGTCATGGCCCAGTACTTGGTTCACAGCGCACTGGCAAATGCCATCTTCTGGATCAAGCTCGGCTTCCTCTGCTTGGCTGGATTCATTTGCTTTGTCTTTCCATTGTGTTGGCCGCTTCTCTTCTACTGGGCCTACAAGAAGTACCAGACTTATCAAGAATCCCGCACAAAGCTGCTACCTTCTTGGACAGGCTCAGGAACTTTGGAGCAAAAAGTCTTGAAGGCGATTGAGAAGAATGAGCCTCCAAAGAATGGCAACTTCACTAGCCGAGATGGTCTGCGACTCCAGTGGTATTCAGAGGGAAGCGGCCCCAAGCAGATTCTGATCTGCAATGGAGTGAACTGCTCCTACTTGCTATGGAAGCCTTTGCTGGATTCTCTCAGTGACAGCTTCGGCAAGGATTGGAGGGAGCAGTTGACCGTGGTCACCTGGGACTATCGAGGGCTTTACAAGTCTGAGGCTTCAGCTGCAACTGCCAGCTATTCAGTTCGAACTCTCTGTGAGGATGCCTATGACCTCATGCAGCACATGAAGCTGGAGAAATGGGATGCAGTTTGTGGTTGGTCTACAGGAGTGCAATGTGCCCTGGAATATGCCGGACTTTACCCAGAAACCGTTGACCGTCTTTTTCTGGTGAATGGATCCCATGGCCATACTCTGCACACAGCTTTCCAACCAGTGCCACAGTTCTTCTATCTGTCCTTGATGTCCAGAATTTTGTCCAGTGCCATCTACTTTGTACGTTTCAATGTTTGCACAGATGCCAAGGAGTTTCAGAGATTCAAGGCTCTCTGGGTGAAATTGATTGAACTGATTTCACCCACCATTCAGCGCCTGAATGGCTTCTTGCTGGGTTCTGCCAGCCTCGAATACACCATGGCGTCCAACGCCTTGGATCTCACCGGCCATGGGCCGCAGCATTGCAACAACGTGATGCGAATACTACAGGCCTTGGACAGCCATTCCTCAGCGTACACATTGCCCGAGTTGAAGGTTCCGGTCTTGGTGGTTTGTGGTCTCCTGGATGCCATGACACCAGCCTTCAGCCAGTACGAGATCGCTGGTTTGGCTCCCAAGGTCAAGTTGGTGTCCATTGCAGCTGGGACCCACCACTGTATCCTTGAGGCTCCTCAATTGGCCAGCAAGGAGATTGTGGATTTTTTTCAGGCTGATCCAAAGAAATTGGAGAATTGGGGAGAAGCGGACCGGGTCTCCTGGCCCATTGGATGGTATTTGATCTGAGCCTGAGCCATGTTCAACAGCTTGTTTTCCACACTCCCTCGGCTGCCGTCAGCTACTGGAGCCTTCTGTTGAGCATTTGATTCCATGCATTTTCGGATGCATTTTCAAGTTATGTACAGCTCAATATAGTTAAAGCTTGGAATAGACTGTTCCCGGGATCGTTTTTGCCCTGGTGCTTTGATGTGCTTTGTCGTGTACTCAACACCAGCCTCTGCGGTCAAAAGGCTTGTTGAACCACTCCACAAATTCAGCTTACCAGTGCAACTTTGCATCCCGTCTTTCGTGTGTGCATATTAGTGTGGATATTGTAATTATGTACTATAGACTATCGATGTACTTGCATTGACGTTTACGACGTAAGATTCTTTACCTGTGCCATGGAAATTGCAGTAGTCGGCAAGGGTAGCTCTTGAATAGTCGGCAATGCTTGGCACAAAACCTTCGAACATTGCGATAGGAGCGTGCCAAATGTTCGACACAATTGGAGAGCCCCAGTATGGGGAGGGTGCCTGCCTCAAAGGCTCAGGTTTTTCTTTGATCTTCCAGTGCTCTCTGTCTTCTCTCAATGATAGCTAGACATCATCTCCTGCAGCGTCATAGCCTGAGGCCTACTCCGCTTGTGCCGGGTACAGTGCCTTGGAGACCTGAGAATTGCCATTTTTTTGAACCAAATTGCCACGCAGTCGATGTTCCAAGGACGTTTAGGTCCAAGATCGTCTGTTGCCTGGATGATCTGGTGCGTGAAACCAAGGTGGCAATATTCCGGGCAAACTCTCTGGCAATATCGTTCCTGCCTCAATATCTTCCAAAAAAATCGGGATGGAAATTCACAATTACTGTAATTACTATCAACTCCCATCCATTATCACATATTATCACATGGTTTTACATTTCAAAATGGATGGGTTTAAAATTTTGTAAACGTTTAAATCTCAACGACGAGACCTGAAGAGGTGGGCTGCAGCTTCATGGAGGGAAGCCGACTTGCCAAGGACATGGATAGACATGGGTGGTATCAATGGATTCAATAGGTATAAACCATGATAAACCATGAAACATTAGAGTTTTTCCCCAGATAGCTGGCAAGCTATAGGGGTTCTTACTTCTCAAAGGTGGGGTCTTCGGTGGCGAACTTTTGAGCAGGGTGCTGTGCAGGGTGCTGTGCAGGGTGCTGTACAGGGTGGTGTGCAGGGTGCTGTGCAGGGTGCAGTCCAGACTGCGGTGGCGAAGTCTGGCAAAGGTGCTGCGCAGGGTGCTGTGCAGGGTGCAGTCCAGACTGCGGTGGCGAAGTCTGGCAAAGGTGCTGTGCAGGGTGCTGTGCAGGGTGCTGTCTAGACTGCGGTGGCGAAATCTGGCAAAGGTGCTGTGCAGGGTGCTGTCCAGACTGCGGTGGCGAAGTTTGGCAAAGGTGCTGTGCACGGTGCTGTGCAGGGTGCTGTCCAGATTGCGGTGGCGAAGTTTGGCAAAGGTGCTGTGCACGGTGCTGTGCAGGGTGCTGTCCAGACTGCGGTGGCGAAGTCTGGCAAAGGTGCTGTGCAGGGTGCTGTGCAGGGTGCTGTGCAGGGTGCTCTGCAGGGTGCTGTGTGCAGGGTGCTGTCCAGACTGCGGTGGCGAAGTCTGGAAAAGGAAAGGCGCTGTGCAGGGTGCTGTGCTGTCCAGGGTGCTGTCCAGGGTGCTGTGCACTGCGAAGTCTGTGCTGTGCAGGGTGCTGTGCAGGGTGTTGTCCAGACTGCGGTGGCGAAGTCTGGCAAAGGTGCTGTGCAGGGTGCTGTGCAGGTTGCTGTGCAGGGTGTTGTCCAGACTGCGGTGGCGAAGTCTGGCAAAGGTGCTGTGCAGGGTGCTGTGCAGGGTGCTGTCCAGACTGCGGTGGCGAAGTCTGGCAAAGGCTGCTGTGCAGGGTGCTGTCTGGCAGGTGCTGTGCAGGGTGCTGCAGGTGCTGTGCAGGGTGCTGTGCTGTTCAGACTGTGGCTGGCAAAGGTGCTGTGCAGGGTGCTGTGCAGGGTGCTGTGCAGGGTGCTGTCCAGACTGCTGTCGCGAAGTCTGGTAAACTGTTCAAGGTGCTGTGCAGGGTGCTGTCCAGACTGCGGTGGCGAGGGCGAAGGTGCTGTGCAGGGTGCTGTGCAGGGTGTTGTCAGACTGCGGTGGCGAAGTCTGGCAAAGGTGCTGTGCAGGGTGCTGTGCAGGTGCTGTGCGGGTGTTGTCCAGACTGCGGTGGCGAAGTCTGGCAAAGGTGCTGTGCAGGGTGCTGTGCAGGGTGCTGTGCAGGGCGAAGTCTGGCAAAGGTGCTGTGCAGGGTGCTGTGCAGGGTGCTGTGCAGGGTGCTGTGCAAGGTGCTGTGCAGGGTGCTGTGCAGGGTGCTGTCCAGATTGCGGTGCCGAAGTCTGGCAAAGGCGCTGTGCAGGGTGCTGTGCAGGGTGCTGTGCAGGGTCTGAGCCAAGGCGCTTTTTCGTTGCCGCATATCATTTTGACATGCGCATTTTTCGTGCAAAAACATTTTTATGCCGGCCCATCAGCCAAACGCAAACATTCCGCTAGCGGTCCATTAAGCAAAACAAAAGGTTCTGTTACCGGCTCAGTAAACAAAACAAAACAACATTAAGAACCATGAGTTCTAACTTTTTGGAATCAACAGATCCTTCCAGTGGTAACGTATGCTTTTTCAGGTTTGGAACCATGAGTTTCAAGCTTTCGGAATCCGCAGTTCCTTACAATGATAGCCGCTTAGCTTCGAAAACATAAATTCTAACTTCTGGGAACCGGCAATTCGTTGCAATGGTAACCTCTGGTTCCCAAGTTGGGAACCGCAAGTTTCAACGTCTGGGAACCGGCAGTTCCTTGCCATGGTAACCTTTGGTTCCCACGTTGGGAACCATGAGTTCCAACCTTTAGGAACCGGAAGTTCTTTGCAATGGTAACCTATGGTTCCCAGGTTGGGAAGCATGAGTTCCAACCTCTGGTAACCGGCAGTTGCTTGCAATGGTAACCCATGGTTCCCAGGTTGGGAACCAGGAGTTCCAACCTCTGGGAACCGGCAGTTCCTTGCAATGGTAACCTGTGGTTCCCACGTTGGCAACCGTGAGTTCCAACCTTTTGAAACCGGCACTTCCTTGCCATGAACCAAACGCAAACATTCCGGTACCGGCCCATTAAGCAAAACAAAGTGTTCTGTACCGGTCCATTAAGCAAAACCATAAAGTTGTAAAGAAACTGTTTTCATATCATTTTGACATGCACCTTTTTCGTGCCAAAAACATTTTTATGCCGGCCCAGCAGCCAAACGCAAACATTCCGCTACCGGTCCATTAAGCAAAACAAAAGGTTCTGTTACCGGCTCAGTAAATAAAACAAAACAACATTAAGAACCATGAGTCTTAACTTTTCGGAATCATCAGATCCTTCCACTGGTAACGTATGCTTTTTCAGGTTTGGAACCATGAGTTTCAAGCTTTGGGAAACCGCAACAATGATAGCCGCTTAGCTTCGAAAACATAAATTCTAACCTCTGGGAACCAACAATTCCTTGCAATGGTAACCTCTGGTTCCCAGGTTGGGAACCGCAAGTTTCAACGTCTGGGAACCGGCAGTTCCTTGCCATGGTAACCTTTGGTTCCCACGTTGGGAACCATCAGTTCTAACCTTTAGGAACTGGAAGTTCTTTGCAATGGCAACCTATGGTTCCCAGGTTGGGAAGCATGAGTTCCAACCTCTGGTAACCGGCAGTTGCTTGCAATGGTAACCTCTGGTTCCCAGGTTGGGAACCAGGAGTTCCAACCTCTGGGAACCGGCAGTTCCTTGCAATGGTAACCTGTGGTTCCCACGTTGGCAACCGTGAGTTCCAACCTTTGGGAACCGGCAGTTCCTAGCCATGAACCAAACGCAAACATTCCGGTAGCGGTCCATTAATCAAAACAAAGCGTTCTTTACCGGTCGATTAAGCAAAACCATAAAGTTGTAAAGAAAATGTTTTCATATCATTTTAACATACACCTTTTCGTGCAAAAACATTTTTATGCCGGCCCAGCAGCCAAACGCAAACATTCCGATACCGGTCCATTAAGCAAAACAAAAGGTTTTGTTACCGGCTCAGTAAACAAAACAAAACAACATTAAGAACCATGAGTTCTAACTTTTTGGAATCAACAGATCCTTCCACTGGTAACGTATGCTTTTTTAGGTTTGGAACCATGAGTTTCAAGCTTTGGGAATCCGCAGTTCCTTACAATGATAGCCCTTAGCTTCGAACACATAGAGTTCTAACCTCTGGGAACCGTCAATTCGTTGCAATGGTAACCTCTGGTTCCCAGGTTGGGAGCCGTAAGTTTCAACGTCTGGGGACCGGCAGTTCCTTGCCATGGTAACCTTTGGTTCCCACGTTGGGAACCATCAGTTCCAACCTCTAGTAACCGGCAGTTGCTTGCAATGGTAACCCATGGTTCCCAGGTTGGGAACCAGGAGTTCCAACCTCTGGGAACCGGCAGTTGCTTGCAATGGTAACCCATGGTTCCCAGGTTGGGAACCAGGAGTCCCAACCTCTGGGAACCGGCAGTTCCTTGCAATGGTAACCCATGGTTCCCAGGTTGGGAACCAGGAGTTCCAACCTCTGGGAACCGGCAGTTCCTTGCAATGGTAACCTGTGGTTCCCACGTTGGCAACCGTGAGTTCCAACCTTTTGAAACCGGCACTTCCTTGCCATGAACCAAACGCAAACATTCCGGTACCGGCCCATTAAGCAAAACAAAGCGTTCTGTACCGGTCCATTAAGCAAAACCATAAAGTTGTAAAGAAAATGTCTTCATATCATTTTAACATGCACCTTTTTCGTGCAAAAACATTTTTTTGCCGGCCCATCAGCCAAACGCAAACATTCCGCTACCGGTCCATTAAGCAAAACAAAAGGTTCTGTTACCGGCTCAGTAAATAAAACAAAACAACATTAAGAACCATGAGTTCTACCTTTTTGGAATCAACAGATCCTTCCACTGGTAACGTATGCTTTTTCAGGTTTGGAACCATGAGTTTCAAGCTTTGGGAACCCGCAGTTCCTTACAATGATAGCCGCTTAGCTTCGAAACATAAGTTCTAACCTCTGAGAACCGGCAATTCCTTGCAATGGTAGCCTCTGCTCTTAGGTTGGGAACCGTAAGTTTCAACGTCTGGGAACCGGCAGTTCCTTGCCATGGTAACCTTTGGTTCCCACGTTGGGAACCATCAGTTCCAACCTTT